CTTACACAATTTCTTATACTGTCTTTGGTCAAATGCATGAGAACAGCTTCAAATTCGAGATCTATTTATATGACAAGTACGCGATATGTTTATATTAGTGAACATCGATTACAAGTTGGCGTCAATCTCATCACCAGTTGCCTCCTCCAGCGTCAACATGCCAGCGGGAAGAATGTAAGGCTCCTCGTTTCGAGGAACGCGAGGGCTCAATGCAATGTGAGTAGCAGCCACATCGTTAGGCATAGCAGGCAAGCGAACCCAGTTAGCGGCACCCCGAATGTTCTCCCAGCACTTCGTACCCCACATCCTATCCGATCCCGTGAACGGCGCCCACAGGAGTTGGTCCCACTGTCTCCAGAGTGCTTCTCGGACTTCCTTCCGCTCGTCATCGTTCAGTCGACGGAGAAGGCGGAACCAGTCCTTGAAATACTTGCATTCCTTCCAGTTTTGGGCGGCCTTGGTCGGGAACACAAGTGGGAAACACCTGTCGAAGTGCATCCTCCATGTCTTGGTGGGGCAGCGCTTGTACTGGACCTGACGGAAAGGCATTCCTAACGCCTTGAAGAGGCGTTCCGTAGATTCTTCGATCCTCTGGCGCCTGTCTAAGGTCAAGTGCGATCCCTTGGTGAACGCACGCTGGTTGGACGCCTCCATGATGGCGTCGAACATGAATTGCTCCCAGATCCCCTCTGCTACAGGCCCTGCCTCGCGGTCCGCCGGTAACTCGTCGTAGACCACCTGAGCGATGCCGTTGCGCGTTACCCTCGCCAGGTCGACGTCGTCCCCCTCCAACACCAAAGGACCGTGAAGACGAATGCCCTGCAGCTCCTCAGCAAACTGCGGGCGTTCGCGATCTTCATCCCGCCACTCGTTGACATCCCGCTCGCGCCCAGCCGCACGGTTGTTGTTCCTATCGGGATTAGACGGTTCGACACGCGCAAAAACGGCGGCACCGAGCTTCGATCGAAGGTGCTCGTAGTTGGCGGCGCCAAACGCCTTGCAGACAGCGTCTTCTTGCAGAGTTCGGTTGATAGGAATACGGTACTGCTGACTGTCCTTGTCACGGACGGTGTCGCATACGAAGTAGATCCCGGCTTCGAACATCAGCGGCTCCATCTCGTCGTCAAGCAGATCATCGGCCACTTCATCGTCGAGGTCGGGATCAGTTTCCACTATCGGACAAGCCAGCATGGCGAGGTCCTCTAGTTTCTCGAGAGGGTTCCGAAACGTCCCGTTCATGATCCAAATTGCCATCGCCCCGATGACAAGCGCGTGGTGGACTTGGCGCTCTGGTAGGATACTGTTGACCATGCTCCCCAGTACGACGTTGGCAGCGTACACGCGCAAGTATTTCAGCAGCCTGAAGCAACGTCAGCATCATTCATATGTCATAGCTATGTGCGCACTTACCACCATTGCCAGCTCGGTATCTGCAGCAAACCCCGTTCCAGCAGACCATCCGGCAAATCAACCAAGTCCGTGAGCGCTTGCGCCAGCGTCACTCTGACCTCCACGCGGGCGCATGCATCCTGAGCGGTAGCTTCCACTCCCTCCTCCACCTCACCCTTCCCCGCACATATCGCTAACATCTCACTCATCTTCACCATATCCCTCAGCAACCTATCCAGCTCCGATTCCTTCAATAGCTCCGATGGCCACCTTGTCTTGAAGATACCGTTGTGCAGTTGTGCACTCGCCGCCTTGTCGGTGGTATAACATTGAGCCCATAGCACCTCCTTGCGACCCCAGAACTCCATCTCTGCGCGGAATCCTGCCACCTCCAGCAAGTGGCTAAGTCGGTCGAGATGGTACTGCTTCGACTTCATCCGCCGCTCGACATGCTCGCGGCGCAGTCCCGGGCAAATCGCCAACAGGATCTCCGCATGACTACGCGAAGCCCACGTCACCACATGCCCCCGTCGACCGAACTCCATCGCCACGTCGATGTACCACCGATCCTCATCCACCTGATCCCGATCCAGCACGGACAGCATCGTTTCCAATGACCCCTCCCGTTCTTCTTCTTCGTCCGGATTGTGCGCCGTCGCACCCTTGTAACCGCGTAGCTCGTGCCCAAAGTATGCGTTCCGATAGGCTTGGTCAACCTCTCCTAGCCTCACCAAGACCCGCTCGCCGAACTCAGCCAGTCGGTCTGGCTGGACGTCGTAGCCCATCCGTGCAAAACCGCCCTGTCCGCACGTCTGTGCGAGGAGCTCTGCCCCTCGGTAGCTCGCAGGCCAGTGGGTGGCCTCGTTGGGGAACATCTCTTTCACGAGGGGCAAGACGACGCGGTTGTAGATGCGCGCCAAGTGGAGAGGAGTGACAATGGGATCCTCGCCTTGTCGCCACAGACGCGGCAGGAAGATTCGAACGACGTGACGGCGTGCAACCGTGCCAAACGCAAAGTTAGGTATCTTATGCATAGGCATCCATACCTCCTCCTGTATAGTTGCATCAGCCAATTATTGAGCAAAGACAAGTCATTGCTTACATCTCCTCGAAGCGCGTACGCCTTGATGTGTGTCTCTGTCCTCAGCGTCTCTCGGAACGGCGGGTAGGGGAAGACAGTCATCGGCACCACGTAGCACAGGCTTCCGGTAGCCCCGAACATGGAGTCGTAGTCCCGCCGCTTGATGAGCATAGTTGCGTCAACGGGCTCGAGATCCTCCTCGATACTGAGAGTCCACGCGCGCGTTTCGAGTAAACCGGGGCCGAGCTTCTCTCGACCAGCAAGGATGAAACGAGTGAAGACGTCCTCATCCTCGTTCAGGAGTTGCGCAGATCGCGTCACGGCTCCATAAAGGCTGTAGGAGACAGGATGGATGGTACGGTCGTCGGGATAGGGACGCATAGTTGTCGAAGTATCAGTGGGTGGTGAACGTTTTAAGTGGTGAATGTCCGCCGTCGAACTATGCTCAGCCTTTATATTATCCTCTAGTCAGATCCCTTCGTATTGAGCACGGTGCGTGAACTCCTCAGATTTCTGCACCTTCATTCATTCACTTGCGACCCTATGCACATGTGGGCGTCCCGGACGGCCACGCTGCACAGGCTCCACTCGGATTCCCGTACCGAGAGTCCATGACTTTGATGCAGGCCTGTGGAGTTGACT